ACAGCACTCCAGTCCATCAGTTAACATCTGGAGAAGACAAAAGCTGAAACTAATCCAGCATTAAGACGTTTTTAACTAAAATACCATAGAGTCCATAATCTATAATAACTCTTCCTCCAGTGAAAAAGTGTTCTGGTCTGAATCAGGAGTTCATCTCATCTCAATGCTAAATTTCTCCAAATCTGTTTAGATGAAGAAACAAACTCATCTATATCTTGAAATGCCTGGGGATGAGCACTTTTTAAGGAAATTGTAATTGTTGCATCAACTATTCCTGAATAGTTTCCAGAAGCAGCTTGTTGAACTACTACAATATGTGCAGTATAATAAAGGTTTACTTGGTAATTCTGACCCTCTGCTTTATGCTAATAGTATGTGTAGAAGCTGTAACCGTGAGTTTGTGGCTGTGGTCACTATAAAGCACACATGCGGTGCGTGTAGTAAAGCTGATGGTGTGGTGGTAGGGTCTGAACAATAAGAAGACTCTGCCAGCAGGAGGCACTATTCTGCACTGTCTGGACAACATCGCCACCTTCATGGAGACGCTTCCCATGGACTCACCCAGCAACCTGTGGACAACCATCTCGAACCAGTTCCACACATTTCTAACCAAACTACCTGCTGTTCTGCCGCTCAAGGTACCAGTTCAGCCTTTCTGTGCTCTGTAACGCCAGAGGAATCAGAATAAATGCTCGTAGTTTACTCCTCTTAAGAGTTCCTCCTGTTTCTTCTCTTTTCTGAAGTGTCCGCTGGACTCGAGTCTGAGAATTATCATTTGCTTGCTGAAAATTCCTGTAACAAATGCAACAAGAGTAAGTTCATACATTCCTTCTGCTCTGCTGGTCATTTAATTTCCCTTCAGATGATATGAAAATATCTTATGACATGAATAATGGGATAATGAGAATATCAGAAGTGTGCTGTTTTAAATGTTCTGCTGGGGCTGATGAAGTGCACTGCTTGTCTGGTGTCTTTCTGACAGAGTCTGCTGGAGCCCTTCTCCAAACTCCTGAGTTTCGTTCTCCAGTACGGTGTGTTCAGTCTCTCGTATCTCGTAGAGCTCTGCGGTTTATGCTACAAAACCTTCAGCAAGGTGAACAGCTCTGTACATCCGTGTTTATTCCAGCAGAGAGAATCAGAACACCTGGCATGGGTTTCTGCCCTCTGCATGTTGCTGCCAAGATTTTACAGCCTCTTGTTTAAAAAAAATGACATTTATTAATGCAGTTTTTCTCCAATGCTAAATGAATATTCACTAAATATCATTTGATGATCATTTCATAATCATCATCAGGAGGAAAGAGTATACAAACTTTTTTCAGAATAAATAAAAACATAATAATCTTTCCTGTTTTTTATCCTTTTTCCTTAAGAAATAATGTCTGCATGTTGTGAAGCAATGCTTTGTTTGGTAAAAAAAAAAAGAAGAAGAAGACGACAAAACTTTGTTTTAATGTGTTTAATAAGTAATAATGTGTTTTGTAGAGCAGAGGTTTCAAAACTTGAAAAAAACTGCATTATTCCCTTTAAGTTTTTTTTTCTTCTTAATTTTCCATGTAATATTACTACATTAAATAGGCTTTTATTCAGACCATTCAGACGTTTTTTGAACGATTTATTAAAAGAAGCTCATAAGAATAATTTGTTCATGAATTAGATTACACTTTGTTGTGCAACACGTTTGTTCTTGCGAGGAAACTGCTGTGTGTCGTCAGAAATATGTAAATAGAAGATGATGCTTTATGGAGTTTTGCTGTTGATAGATTATCTAGATATCAGAGAGAAGCAGTGGTCAGCTGTCAAACGAGAGATGTCAGCATTCAGAAGTGTGGCGAGATCTTTTAGCAAACTGCACATTTTTGAAAATGACTTTCTATAAGCTGCTTTCCTCCTCTTCCATGCAGGAGAGGGACAAGTTCTACATGTCTCGTGTGGTTGTTCTGGAGTTGCTTCAGGCTCTGAAGTTCAAGTCATCGATTCCTGATACGAACCTGCTGCTGCTGGTGCAGGTAATGCATCTGTGAATCTGCGTCTCACAATAAGGGAGGGTGGAGCAAACACACGTGGATGCATAACTAGTTTTCTATTGCTAGTACTACTGATATGTCAGACAGCTTCTGTGACTGGTCACATTTAATGTAAAAACAATCAAAGACTGGTGTGTAGTTGAGGGATGATGAATGAGACCGCTCAGGATCCGTCTGAGAGATTGATATCGTCTCGTCTGTCATCTCAGTTTGTGTGCACAGACATCGGGACCAGGCTGGCCGAGTCCACCATCCTCCAGAAGCACATGATCTCCGCTCTGCCCGGGGTGAGACTCGTCTGCTGCAGTACTGATGTGTCTGCTCGTTAGTGTTGACTGTAGACGTCACAGCTGTTCTGTCCCCTCAGTGCACCACAGCAGCGATGGAGTGCTTGCGGCAGTATCTGAGCGAGCTGCTGGACTTCATCGCAGACATGCACACGCTGACCAAACTAAAGGTATTGGTCACACTCATCTAACCGTCAGGCCTGCAGTGGGAACTCATGTTTCATGTGTCTTTGTACACTGGCTGTCATGTACCATCATGGAAACTTCTGTCTCATCTGCTGGAAGTTCCTCCAACGGTAGAGCGTGGCACTAGCATCAATAAAACCATGGATTTGATTCTCAGGGAACACGTGAACTTAATCAGATCTATTCCTTAAAAGCAGTGTAAAGGTGGCGTTCCACCAGCCGATTTCAACAGCTGGATTGTGGTCGAGGTAGTCTCGCCAGCTGACTGTCTCTTCAGTCGGAGGTCCATCATGCACACAGATAAAAAAATTGATGGTTGTCACAGATTAAACGACTGCCTCTGAGTCGCACAGACAGAATGTTACGTTTTCGACTGTAATGACCCCTCCGCATCTCCAGCGATTATGTAAATGAGGCTTTTGACTGGAAATCAGCTGAAAATCGGCTGCTGAGAAGCCTTAAGTCTCTTGGGATAAAAGTGTGTGCCTGCATGCATGAATGTAAAATGCTGAAAGCAGGTGATGTGTGTCATGTGTGTGTGCGTGTAGAGCCACATGAAGGCGTGCTGTCAGCCGCTGCACGAGGACACGTTCGGCGGGAATCTGAAGGTCGGTCTGGCTCAGATAGCGGCGATGGAGATCAGCAAAGGCAACCACAGAGACAACAAAGCGGTTATTCGCTACCTGCCTTGGCTTTACCATCCGCCTTCTGCTATGCAACAAGGGTAAAATCCACCGTCATCACGTGTGTTGTGTGTGTGTCGTCAGCGCCCAGCATCAGCTTGAGCTTTTACACTGTGCTTGTGTTTCCTCAGACCCAAAGAGTTCATCGAGTGCGTGTCACACATTCGCCAGCTGTCTTGGCTGCTGCTGGGGTCTCTTACCCACAGTGCTTTGCATCAGGGCTCCTCGTGCTGTATGCCCATTCCACTGGATGCTGGATCTCATATCGCAGACCATCTGATTGTCATCCTGATAGGATTCCCAGAGCAGTCCAAGGTATGATAATGGAGCGGTTCTGCTTGGAGGAGATCCAGAGACGTGACTCTGATGTTGCTCCTCTCTCTGTGTGTGTCTGCAGACGTCAGTGCTGCACATGTGTTCGCTGTTCCACGCCTTCATGTTCGCCCAGCTGTGGACCATCTACTGCGAGCAGGCCACGGCCAACCCGACCAATCAGAACCAGAACGAGTTCTCCTCGTGCGCCATCCTCACGGGCCTGGAGTTCTGGAGCCGCGTGACTCCCAGCATCCTCCAGCTCATGGCCCACAACAAAGTGGTAAACCTGCCATTTACTCAGACTCGGTGTGATCCGGCTTCTCTCTCAGTGCATCACTTTGAAGCATTTCTACATTAGAAGCTGTTTTTTGACATTTGAACATGTCAGAGTATTTCTTAAGGCTTGTGTTTTAGCTCTAAACAGCTTACGTTTGACATTTGACATCTGATATAAACTGATTTCAGATACAAAACTGACTCCTGTTCTAGACTGAGAAATTACTCCATATGAATGAGCAAAGATTATCAATCTTTATTCATTTTAACTGATGGGAAAGCTCTGTGCAAAGCTAGAACAACCTCTGAAAGTACCTTGTTCACAGACACAGTGGTGACAGCAGATCTGCTCTTTTTCTTCATGTTTCAGATGGTAGAGATGGTCTGCTTGCATGTCATCAGTCTAATGGAGGCCTTGCAGGAGTGTAACTCCACCATCTTTGTAAAAGTAGGAGGGATTTCTTACTACAAATGCTTAACATTCAGACGTTTTTTGAACGATTTATTAAAAGAAGCTCATAAGAATAATTTGTTCATGAATTAGATTACACTTTGTTGTGCAACACGTTTGTTCTTGCGAGGAAACTGCTGTGTGTCGTCAGAAATATGTAAATAGAAGATGATGCTTTATGGAGTTTTGCTGTTGATAGATTATCTAGATATCAGAGAGAAGCAGTGGTCAGCTGTCAAACGAGAGATGTCAGCATTCAGAAGTGTGGCGAGATCTTTTAGCAAACTGCACATTTTTGAAAATGACTTTCTATAAGCTGCTTTCCTCCTCTTCCATGCAGGAGAGGGACAAGTTCTACATGTCTCGTGTGGTTGTTCTGGAGTTGCTTCAGGCTCTGAAGTTCAAGTCATCGATTCCTGATACGAACCTGCTGCTGCTGGTGCAGGTAATGCATCTGTGAATCTGCGTCTCACAATAAGGGAGGGTGGAGCAAACACACGTGGATGCATAACTAGTTTTCTATTGCTAGTACTACTGATATGTCAGACAGCTTCTGTGACTGGTCACATTTAATGTAAAAACAATCAAAGACTGGTGTGTAGTTGAGGGATGATGAATGAGACCGCTCAGGATCCGTCTGAGAGATTGATATCGTCTCGTCTGTCATCTCAGTTTGTGTGCACAGACATCGGGACCAGGCTGGCCGAGTCCACCATCCTCCAGAAGCACATGATCTCCGCTCTGCCCGGGGTGAGACTCGTCTGCTGCAGTACTGATGTGTCTGCTCGTTAGTGTTGACTGTAGACGTCACAGCTGTTCTGTCCCCTCAGTGCACCACAGCAGCGATGGAGTGCTTGCGGCAGTATCTGAGCGAGCTGCTGGACTTCATCGCAGACATGCACACGCTGACCAAACTAAAGGTATTGGTCACACTCATCTAACCGTCAGGCCTGCAGTGGGAACTCATGTTTCATGTGTCTTTGTACACTGGCTGTCATGTACCATCATGGAAACTTCTGTCTCATCTGCTGGAAGTTCCTCCAACGGTAGAGCGTGGCACTAGCATCAATAAAACCATGGATTTGATTCTCAGGGAACACGTGAACTTAATCAGATCTATTCCTTAAAAGCAGTGTAAAGGTGGCGTTCCACCAGCCGATTTCAACAGCTGGATTGTGGTCGAGGTAGTCTCGCCAGCTGACTGTCTCTTCAGTCGGAGGTCCATCATGCACACAGATAAAAAAATTGATGGTTGTCACAGATTAAACGACTGCCTCTGAGTCGCACAGACAGAATGTTACGTTTTCGACTGTAATGACCCCTCCGCATCTCCAGCGATTATGTAAATGAGGCTTTTGACTGGAAATCAGCTGAAAATCGGCTGCTGAGAAGCCTTAAGTCTCTTGGGATAAAAGTGTGTGCCTGCATGCATGAATGTAAAATGCTGAAAGCAGGTGATGTGTGTCATGTGTGTGTGCGTGTAGAGCCACATGAAGGCGTGCTGTCAGCCGCTGCACGAGGACACGTTCGGCGGGAATCTGAAGGTCGGTCTGGCTCAGATAGCGGCGATGGAGATCAGCAAAGGCAACCACAGAGACAACAAAGCGGTTATTCGCTACCTGCCTTGGCTTTACCATCCGCCTTCTGCTATGCAACAAGGGTAAAATCCACCGTCATCACGTGTGTTGTGTGTGTGTGTCGTCAGCGCCCAGCATCAGCTTGAGCTTTTACACTGTGCTTGTGTTTCCTCAGACCCAAAGAGTTCATCGAGTGCGTGTCACACATTCGCCAGCTGTCTTGGCTGCTGCTGGGGTCTCTTACCCACAGTGCTTTGCATCAGGGCTCCTCGTGCTGTATGCCCATTCCACTGGATGCTGGATCTCATATCGCAGACCATCTGATTGTCATCCTGATAGGATTCCCAGAGCAGTCCAAGGTATGATAATGGAGCGGTTCTGCTTGGAGGAGATCCAGAGACGTGACTCTGATGTTGCTCCTCTCTCTGTGTGTGTCTGCAGACGTCAGTGCTGCACATGTGTTCGCTGTTCCACGCCTTCATGTTCGCCCAGCTGTGGACCATCTACTGCGAGCAGGCCACGGCCAACCCGACCAATCAGAACCAGAACGAGTTCTCCTCGTGCGCCATCCTCACGGGCCTGGAGTTCTGGAGCCGCGTGACTCCCAGCATCCTCCAGCTCATGGCCCACAACAAAGTGGTAAACCTGCCATTTACTCAGACTCAGTGTGATCCGGCTTCTCTCTCAGTGCATCACTTTGCAGCATTTCTACATTAGAAGCTGTTTTTTGACATTTGAACATGTCAGAGTATTTCTTAAGGCTTGTGTTTTAGCTCTAAACAGCTTACGTTTGACATTTGACATCTGATATAAACTGATTTCAGATACAAAACTGACTCCTGTTCTAGACTGAGAAATTACTCCATATGAATGAGCAAAGATTATCAATCTTTATTCATTTTAACTGATGGGAAAGCTCTGTGCAAAGCTAGAACAACCTCTGAAAGTACCTTGTTCACAGACACAGTGGTGACAGCAGATCTGCTCTTTTTCTTCATGTTTCAGATGGTAGAGATGGTCTGCTTGCATGTCATCAGTCTAATGGAGGCCTTGCAGGAGTGTAACTCCACCATCTTTGTAAAAGTAGGAGGGATTTCTTACTACAAATGCTTAAAATAAACTGTAGTGCTTAGCATTTCTACATCATGCAGTCTGAGGTGTTTATTATATTTAATGTCCTCTTCATTCTCTTCAGCTGATTCCCATGTGGCTGCCCATGATTCAGTCGAACTTAAATGTAAGTTTTCAACATATCCATTACACAATTCCCTCTTGCTGTCAACACTCTGATTCTTGCTTCTTTCTAGAGTAAACTCTCAAAATATTCCTGTTAGATAATAAACGCCCTTTGTGTGTCAATAGCATCTGTCCGCGGGTCTCCAGCTGCGTCTTCAAGCCATTCAGAACCGGGTGAACCACCAGTGTCTCCAGAATCCTGGATCCGGATCATTTCCTCTCACTCTGCGCAAGTGGCTTCAGTGCACTCAGTTTAAAATGGCCCAGGTGGAGATCCAGTCATCTGAGGCGGCGTCCCAGTTTTACCCCATGTGATCTTTAAAGCAGCGAGCTGTGTGTGATGAGGCTTTACCATCCGCCTTCTGCTATGCAACAAGGGTAAAATCCACCGTCATCACGTGTGTTGTGTGTGTGTGTCGTCAGCGCCCAGCATCAGCTTGAGCTTTTACACTGTGCTTGTGTTTCCTCAGACCCAAAGAGTTCATCGAGTGCGTGTCACACATTCGCCAGCTGTCTTGGCTGCTGCTGGGGTCTCTTACCCCCAGTGGCTGATTCCCATGTGGCTGCCCATGATTCAGTCGAACTTAAATGTAAGTTTTCAACATATCCATTACACAATTCCCTCTTGCTGTCAACACTCTGATTCTTGCTTCTTTCTAGAGTAAACTCTCAAAATATTCCTGTTAGATAATAAACGCCCTTTGTGTGTCAATAGCATCTGTCCGCGGGTCTCCAGCTGCGTCTTCAAGCCATTCAGAACCGGGTGAACCACCAGTGTCTCCAGAATCCTGGATCCGGATCATTTCCTCTCACTCTGCGCAAGTGGCTTCAGTGCACTCAGTTTAAAATGGCCCAGGTGGAGATTCAGTCATCTGAGGCGGCATCCCAGTTTTACCCCATGTGATCTTTAAAGCAGCGAGTTGTGTGTGTGATGATTAATCATATGAGCTTCTGCAGCAGCAAATGTAGTTGCTCAAGGTTCGGTGGTCTTCCTAGTGTGTGTGTTATTATCGAATACATTACAGAAATCATGCATAGAGAAAAATGTTAGCCTGTTTCAACCAGGGAAAGTTTTTTTTTGCATTATCAATAGTATGCATATTTCAAACCAAAATAAACAATTCAAAAGTTTTTTTAAAAAACAAACTGCTTGAATTTTTTCTTCAGAATCAGAAAGAGCTTTATTGCCAAGTGTGTTTGCACACACAAGGAATTCGTCTTGGTGTCAGAAGCTTCCATTACAGAAAGTACCGGAAGAAAGTTCAGTGCTCTGTAGCGTCGGCCCGAGGACAACAGTTCAAAGAGGGAGTGTGCTGGGTGTGTGGGGTCCAGAATGATTTACCAGCCCTTTTCCTCACTCTGGAGATGTACAGTTATTGGAGGTTAGGCAGGGAGCACCAATAATCCTCTCAGCAGTCCTGACTGTCCTTAGTCTCCTGATGTGTGATTTGGTAGCTGAGCCAAACCAAACTGTTATAGATGAGCACAGGACAGAATCAATGATGGCCGAGTAGAACTGGGTGAGCTGCTCCTGTGGCAGGTTGAACTTCCTCAGCTGGCGAAGGAAGTACAGCCTCTGCTGGGCCTTTTTTACAATAGAGTCAATGTGAATGTCCCACTTCAGGTCCTGAGAGATGGTGGTGCCCAGGAACCTAAATGACTCCACTTCAGCCACAGTGCTGTTCATGATGGTGAGTGGGGGGAGAGTAGGGGGGTTTCTCCTGAAGTCCACTATCATCTCCACTGTTTTAAACGTGTTGAGCTCCAGGTTGTTGTGACAGCACCAGACAGCCAGATGCTCAACTTCTTGTCTGTAAGCAGACACCTCATCATCCTGGATGAGGCAGATGACTGTAATGTCGTATGCAAATTTCAGGAGCTTCACAGAGGGGTCTTTAGAGGTGCATTTGTTTGTATACAGGGAGAAGAGCAGTGGGGAGAGCACACATCCCTGGGGGGCGCCAGTGCTGATCGTGAGAGTCTTGGATGTGAGTTTCCCCAGCATCACTAGCTGCTGCCTGTCTGTTAGGAAGCTGGTGATCCACTGACAGATAGAGCTAGGAGCAGATAGCTGGGTCAGTTTGGCAGAGAGAAGGTCAGGCATGATGGTATTGAAGGCTGAACTGAAGTCCACAAATAAGATCCTTGTATAAGACCCAGATCTGTCGAGATGTTGCAGGATGTAATGCAGTCCCATGTTGACTGCATCATCCACAGACCTGTTTGCTCTGTAGGCAAACTGAAGAGGATCCAGCAAGGGTCCAGTGATGTCCTTCAGGTAGGCCAGGACCAGTCTCTCAAATGACTTCATGACCACAGACGTGAGAGCAGCAGGTCTGTAATCATTAAGTCCAGTGGTTTTGTGTTTTTTTTGGGGGGAGGGGGGATCGTTTGAAGCAGCAGGGAACTTCACACAGCTCCACTGATCTGTTGAAGATCTGTGTGAAGATGGGGCCAGTTGGTCAGCACAGACTTTTAGACAGACAGGTGAAACACCATCTGGGCCTGAAGCTTTCCTAGACTTCTGTCTTCTGAAGACCCAGTTCACATCCTCTACACAGACCTTAAGCGCAGGTTGAATGGTGGCAGAGGGAGGGAGGGGGCTTGCAGTAGGGGTAGATGAATGTGTGAAGTGCAGATCAGAGCTGGTGTGGGGTGTGAGACTGGGCATTTCAAACCGGCAGTAAAACACATTCAGACCGTCAGCCAGTTAATGATTCTCCACAGACTGTGGGGGTGGTGTTTTTTTTTTTTTTTTTTAGGCAGGTG